GAGGCGCATCCATGCGATCCAGTGTACCAATCCAGGTACTAACAAGTTTGAACATATCCGATGTTCATACTTGTTCGAACTTGTCCAAACTTGTTCAAACACGACACGGATGTTCGCACCACGCAAGAACAACGTACTTCTCGTGGATCACGATCCCGCGGGAACAGACCCTCATGTACGAAAAAATGCAGTCGAGGCTTAGCACAAGCCGCCAGCCACGGCGTCCTTGGGGAGCAAGTTCTTGGCACGCAAGAAGGCGATGATCTTGGTCATCTTGACACCGGAGTTGCCATCAAAGCCCCGTGTGCAGCCGCCGCCGCAGTTGTTGATGGCAATGACCTTGTTGTCGCGCTGGTCAAGTATGGGTGAGCCGGTGGTAAGAATTTGCGTGTCCAAGTTGTACGCCACGCTATCGACCTGGCAGTAGTAGACGGAGGTGTTTGTGATACGGGCAAATTTGCCGTCGTCGTGCAAATGGGAAATGTGGCGAGGGTAGTTCTGGGGGTAGCTGGCGATGTAGACGGGGTCGTCGAGCTGCACGTTGGTGTCACGGGCTTGCAAGTAGCCGTACGGGTCATGCCAGGGTTGACGTTCAACTTGACCAAGGAGAAGTCAAGCTCTTTGTCGGTGATGATTAACGTCGAACTGTTGGAGACGTAAACGCCCTTGTACCCATTGACCTTTTTGTTGTGGGGGTCGTTCGACCGTGGCGCATTCGGCGCCGAACTCAGCGGCGGCCGTGGAAGCTTCAGCGGCGTCTCGAATGCAGACATGTTCGGTTATGAGGTGACCTTCCGATCCCCACAGCCAGCCTGTGCATAATTCATGATAAAAGTGATCGACTTTGACGCGGGCGGTGGCAAGGCCTGCATTGTACTTGGCGGTATCGGAGTCCTTGTACGCAATGGAGGGTTTGGATTGATCCTTGCCACAGATGGATTCGACGTCACCGAGGACTCTCACAACACCACTAGCAGAGGCCGACGTGGCGAGGGCAAGGATGGTCAAGGTCTTCAATGCGTTGAACATGGCTGAAGGAATCGCAACTGACCAAAGCGAGTGAATTGAACGATGGCCACCGCATCGCACTAAGTATTCATGTACTTCCTAGCACACGGCACGGTGTTTGGACATCGGATGCACACTTACTGTACATGAAGGATCTACTTTAAAATCACAATTACCCACATCCACACACCCCTTCTTGGAAGACCCAACCTTCTCTTGTAGTACCTGCTGCAACGACAATCCTCTGCGCCGCAAACGCCCCGTCCAAAGGTAGAGCATGGGTATGTTGTGCCAACGGTCGTGTTTTTGTAATCGGCAGAGTTCCTCAACCATGTACTTCTTCATTCCTCTCTCCGGAATCCAAACGTCAAGGAGCAACTACGAGGGCTGGACTTGATCGAAGACCAGCTCAAGCACGAAATATAAGACATTGGAACTACGCCAAGATTGCTGTCCGCCCCAGAAGCGTCGAGAGAGGCGACCTGTAATTTGGCCCTCGAAGTCGAGCCCACAAAATATTTAGTATCATTCAGACCCGTGCGGCTGTCAACTTCTTATGGAAGATTCTTGTGTCGGAATTACGTACCAAGCGATAAATCGTGTTTGAATCATCTCCTGTCACATGTTTGTGCAAACCAAGCCATTGCAACAACACTACAGTGCTCCCTCAAGGTTTGCTCCCAACGCAAAATCACTTACCTGTGTAAAATGATTGATATAAAATTTGTTGGGCTTGATTGAAATTACCGTTTTGAAAATTTGAACGTGAGGCGGAATCGATGCAGGACATTTGAAAAATGCTGCATGGCAAACGACCGAAGAGCAAGCGCTTGACAATTCATGACAAGAACTCTATTAGAGCCTTCTTTTAGGCTAACACGCCCATCAAAACAATTGCTGTCCAAACGTGGGTGAAAGAACACCTTGGCCATGCGGTGCACATCACCACGATCCGTTGTATCCTCAAGGATCAACGCACGCTCAATGACTTCAACATTAAAGAGGGGTCAGCCAGCAGTCGCTACAACTTCCAACGTCCAAGATACCCTGACCTTGATCGCGAGGTCGCTGAATGGGTGACCACGGCTAACAGCCGCAACGCGTGCGTCACAGACGAGCTGATAGCTCGTGCTGCCAACGGAATTGCCACACGCATGAACCTACAAGACAGAGTGAAGTGCTCAAATGGCTGGTTGTACCGTATGCAAATACGGAACAAAATGAAAATGTACCGTTTGCATGGAGAAGCAGCGTCGCCCAGCCCGGAGGTCGTACAAGATGGCCGTGCGACGATCCGCAGAGTAGCAGACGTCTACATTCCGTCTGACATCTATAACATGGATGAGACTGAATTTTTTACAACAGCCAACCACGTACCACAATCGCGGACCAACCGAGACCCGGACAGAAGCAGGACAAGAGCCGCATATCAGTCGCTCTTGCCACCAATACCAACGGGACCGACAAGTTGCCGCCAACGTTTATCGGGAAGTCCAAGCGTCCAAGATGCTTCGGGTCATTGTCAAGTCGTGAGTTGGGGTTACTGTACCACTCGAATCGCAAGGCCTGGATGACCATGGCCTTGTTCGGCGAGTGGATCAGTGACTTCAGCTCACGAATGACCACTGAGAACAGGTCCGTCCTACTCATTCTGGACAATACATCATCGCACAATCCATTGGATATTTTCCTTACCAACGTGAGACGCTAATGCTCCCCCAAACACGACGGCCTTCCTTCAACCCATGGACGTGGGCTTCATTGCTGCTTTCAAGCGGCACTGCAAACGTTGTCAGCTTGACCATGTGATAGAGCTGGTTGATGGCGTTACCGAGGCAATTGACAGTGGAGTGAAGAATATGTACGCCGTCGACGTGTTGACGGCCATGAGATGGTCATTTCAGGCCTGGGATTGTGTCACATCAACAACCATTCGAAACTACTGGAAACATACCGGCATTGTTTCCCGCGGCCACTCAATTCAGCGATTGCTCAACTGATAACTGTCAAAATCAATTATTGTGTTTCCTTTGTTCTTTTGTTTTCCTTTTACAATTTATTTTTTGGTGAGGGAGCAAACGTTGAGGGAACTATGTACTATACACCAATGTCCGTTCAAAGTGGCCAAACCAGCGATCATTGTGGTTCCGACGTTTTAATATCTTCGAACGCCGAAGTTCACCGGAATCTATTTCATTCAAAGTGGTTTAATCTGCAATAATGTAGCCAACCTTTAAATTCAAATTCGTTCAAAACATGTATTGACAAAGGTTTTGCTTTTGGCGTGCGCGCCAAACTCATACACAATCAATAGATGCCAACAGAAGCCGCGAAAACTCGTGTCTTGGCAGCATTCCATGACCGAAAGATGGGAAACCAGTGGCCTCTCACAATGAAATCGCCTTGACGACAGCTCGACGTGATTGACAGCACCGTGCTAGTCGACTCAGCCGGGGTGGAGTGTGCGCATCATTGACCACGATGACACCAGAGATGTCCTCACGTCGTTGCATTGTCTTGTGCCCGTCCACGCAGCTAGTCGACTGGAGAACATGCACAATGGAGAGTAACCTACATGGCCTATATGTTTTGACCGAATTCGAATTACAGGCTGGCCACATTGATTGCACATAAAATCACTTTGAATGAAATAGATTCCAGATGTACTGAAATTCGACGTTCGAAGAAATTAAATCTTCGGAACCAAAATGATTGCTTGTTGACCACTTTGAACGGGCAGTGGTGCAGTTTGGACCAAAGCCAATAAGATGTCTCCAAACCTCGCCTCTTTCACTAATTAGATCTTGTTAGGATTGACATCATGGTTTGGGACCCGGTCAACCGACCATTTCTGAGGTTGAGTCGGCTCTGGGTACCCAGAACACTTCCCCCTCCTATAGGGAGTGTCCGAACGTTTCTTCAAAGGCCGCCCGCAGTGCCTTGATTTCTTCTTTGTCGGTGTTGATCACAATCCAACGCCACATCGCAACCGCAATGTCTTTATACAATTGGGATACAGGCTCCCAAGACGCATCTTCTTCTTCTAGCCCCTTCCACTCGACCAGAACTTCATGTCTTCTTTCGTTGCAACGCGCCGCCAATAGGGCCACGACGTTGAAACTTTCTTCACCGATCGCGACGGAATCTACCAGGTCAGTTGTCACGTCGAGGTCCGCGTCGCGGAAGAACTTGAGCCGGCTGGCGTAGTGCAACGCTGTCTCGTACGGCGTTACCTGTTGCTGCTGAACTTCCATGACGTAGTTAGAGTCCACTCTTGACACACGTAAAACCCTTTCCAATTCAGGACCTACTTGTTCGGGTACTTCAGCACCCGGCGAACAAGTACGGAATCGCCAACTGCAAACTTCGCCATGCGCGTATTCTTCTTTCGCCCATGACGGTCCTGGCTTGCCTGCGCAACTTCACGCTTCGCACCCCGCGTCGTCCTGATGCATGTCGTTTAGAGCTTGTCGCAACTCGGCCATGTACTTTTTCCTTGTGCTGACAAGCCAGTCCACGGTCACCACTTCCTTCGTCCTTGGGTGTACGAACCCAGCAATTGACGGTGTTGACGACAAACCTTGAAACACCGTCACAGGAGGCACACCACCCAGCCCATCTGCTGGCTGGTGGTTCAGGGCACTTTTCACGAGTGCCAATATACGGTACCACTCGTCCGGTCGCAACTTCATCTCGCTGAGGAGGGACGTCAACCCGCGCTTCACGATGCTGCTTACCACTTCCACCGTCCCGTTCGCCTATGGCATACTAGGTCTGGTGATGTGGTGGTGGGCTCGGATCATCTTCGTGTACGGCGTGGTGATGTGGTGGTGACCTCCGATCATCTTCTTGATCTTGTCCACCACTTCGTCTTGAAATGACTGCCGCCATCTGACACCCAGGTAGGGACCGTGCCGTGTATGGCAAACCAGTCCATCAACACGTTGGCTGTACTCTCGGAGTCCGTTGTAGCTGAGGGAAACATGTGACAAAACCCGCTCATGTCTCCTTCACGACAAGCACGTATTTCTAGCCATTCGAGGCTGGAGGGAGCTGTAGCCAGTCGAAATGGATCAGCTCGTTAGGCGTTCCACATGCAACGCCACAGCCCTGGGTCACGGAACCATGGCTCCGTCCACACAGAGGCGATGCAAACAGCCACCGACTAAGGCTTTGATGTCGTCCTTGGCTGTCGCCCACTCGACCCGATCGAGTAGGCCATTCTGCGTAACGTCCACGCCGCGGTGTCCAGCGGCACCTGGATGGGCAATGATGCAGATGCTCTGCTGCAGGTCCACTGACTTGTCCGGGACCCAAATCTTGCTTGCGGCTGTCACGTAAAGACCGCTCTCTTCACTGCAGGTCACAGGCGGGGTTCTTCCCCCGATTCTTCCATCGCTTCACGCCATTCAAAATTTTTCGCTTGTAGAGGCGAAACATCCACCAGTAATCGCACTCGCGCAACTTGCTGAGACAGAGGGGCAGCTCCCCAGCGGCTCAGCAAATCTGCCCAGACTTTGGCATCCCCTGCTACGTGCTCGAGGGTGTACGGGAACGTCGTCATGACCATAGCCCACCGCTGCAACTTGTGGTCTTGGTACCTCGCCATGCTGGAGTTGTAGCCCAACGGGTTGAAGATGTACATGTACAACAAATTCCGATGATACATGAACAATCGGAATCCCTGTTGCCGCAGCAGAAGGTACTCGAGCCGTTTGCTCGGCTCCACAATCGCAAACGCTTTCTTCTCCACCGTCGGTCAACGGGCGCTGGCACCACCAAAAGAGCCACTCAAAAACGCCAGCGGCTCATGCCGCAGCTCATCCACGGACAGACTCAGGTCTTCAGGTGGAATCGGGGTGCACTCCGCGCCGCAGTGCGTTTCATTTGCATCTGTGTAGAAACAGATTACATTCTCCGACGACGGATGCGACAGCGACACCATGTGCTGAAGCGTCGTTTTAACAGCGGCAAAACACTCGCCGGGTTCAGCTGCCCAACCGATGGCAGCCAACTTGATCTTCGCCAGGACTGACTTATTTGAGCCTCCGGTGGCCTACACTGCAACATCCAGCAATCCGCGCAGGGGAGCAACCAAACTCGCATACCCCAGGATCGACGTGCGCATCCAGTTCGTGGCGCACACGAACTGCTGTACCTCGGCGCCAGTTGTTGGCGTCTCCAACGCAAATAATTCTTGCACCCGGTCAGGTGAATGAGCGACTCCATCCGCAGAAATCACTTTCCCGCACCATTTGACTTCCCCGAGGAAGAAGTTGCGCTTCCTTGGATGGAGCTTGAGGCGGACTGCCGCAAATGGCGAGCACCTCGTCCAAAAATGCCAGCAGCCTGTCCGTGCTGTCTGTGTACCCCAGCAGGTCGTCCAACCAACCCAAAACTCCGTCGTACAGATGATCGCCAAACAACTTGGTGACGATGGACGGACACAATGCCAAGGCGTCCGTCTGGCCCATAAGGATCCGGGTGGGGGTATACACGCCAAAAGGCGTCATGTACGAGTACCATATCAGGCAGGCGGATACAACGGGAACTGCCAATATCTCTTCAGCCAATCCAGCGTGAAAAACTCCTTCATACCGACCAGCGTTGCCATGGCTACGTCCAAGTTCGGCATCGGCCATGGCATCGGAACTGTCCACGCGTCGATTTGGTCTTGAATCGATCGTCATACGGTATTCACCGGGCTCCTTCTTGGGGACGATTCTCGGCGCAATCGCCCAGGTTGCGCGATTGTTCGGATAAGCATGGCCTCTCTACGAACTTCTTCCACATGCTTCTTGAGGAAATCCACGTGGACAGGCGGGTACCGCCGCAGTGACGTCTTCACAAGAACCGCGTCTTTCTTTAGCCGTGCCATCAACGATGCCACATTCACCGGCAAGTCCCGGCCAAGCTCGAGACGGAACACATCCATGTGATGGGTCCGGATGTGCCTGAACTCCACTGCTTGCACATCCGTAAGGCTATGCTCCACGGCCTCCGCCGCCTTCTCGTCGCGGATGCACCGTATCTGCCTGTCTGGGTTGGCCGTCTTCTCCATCGGCGGGGTAGAGCACGCAACGGCTTCGACGCTGTCCAACTCTTCAGCGCCGTCACCATATGCCTCCTGAGGCGTTAGACGGTTCTTGGTTCACCTTCACCGTCGCCCAAATCGCCGACTTCCCAGGTTTGTCGCTTCCTCAGCGCAACCACGAGCTTACCATCAACCGAAAACCCAAGGCGTTCCATGACAGGTCGACCGATCAGGACGTTGACCTGCGACGATTGTTCGTCCACCCAGGCCTTCAAACCACGGAGAGCCAAGGGTACAATGGACGTCTCCAAGGTTAGCGCCTTGAACTGCATTGCCGCGTCACCTTGAGCGGCAGCGAGTTCTCACCATACGACTTCAACCACAGCTGGCTTGTCCACAACGCTGGGTCTTGATCCCAGGCGCTCCAGCGCCTACAGCAATCCATTCGACACCAGGGACTCATCTGAGCCTGAGTCCAGCGCGCACGTGTTGGTAAAACGCGTCCATCAATTTCTTCACCTCGTCATCGGTGATATCAGGGTGCTCGTGGGCACGGTGCTCAGTAGATTGACACTTCAAACACTTGGCCTTGGGCCGCTCGAACCGATCCTTATCGGTCTCCAGGGCTCTATGTTCAGCTGGCACAGCAATTGGTTACTTGTCGTTGCTGCCGTGGCTACGACCGTAGCCACGGGGGTTCTGTCCCTGCTCACTCCTCGGCCGCGCTTCCACCGGTGCCTTGGCGGGTTTCTCTTCATTCACACCGTCATACAGCTGGTACCCAACGGCGAACTGCCGCAGCCACTTAACGAAACACGTCAGCTTGAGGACATTGCTTTGCTGTAGTCGCATTTTTTCGTAACCCCTACTTTCAGTGGCGCAGGCTTGATTGTCTTGGTGATAATCCCCACCACCAGTTTTCCTTCTTATTGCAACACCAACTCTTGGTCATCTGCCTCTAGAGCGAGAATCAGGCTGTCCAGCACTCGGCTCACTCGACTGTCGGCGCCGAGGATCCTCGTGTCGAACTGCACGGCTATTTGCAGACGCCTTATGAGCGCGTCCAACTCCACCGGATCTTCGTCGCGGGCTTCCATGAACCAGGCAACCCACTTGGCTTCAGTCACATCGTCATGCGACTTCCCCAAGTCGGACGTGGCAATGCGCTGCTTGGAGAATGGGTCCATGAATGCACCCACAGGCATCTGAAGCAGCCACTGTCGCGTCGACTGCAATGCCTTGATCTGCAAGGAATACCTCTGATACTCTCGCATGAACGCCCGACGTTCGGCCTTCGTTGACCCCTTGAACAAAGTCGGATGGGGAATAACCGGCGCGTTCAGCACACGGACTCGGTTTCTTCTCCCATGTCGACGTCCTCAGCCACTCTTGTCGCTGTCGGCGTGTCGGCAGGCAGATACGTCTCGGCATCCAATGCAGGTGCTGCAGACGGTACCACCCTTGGCGCATGTATCGCGTTGCCTTCTTGTCCCAACTCTGCGCCGGTCGATTGGTTGTTGCTTGAGTTCTTCGGGGAGACCCAAAGGGCCCGCGAAGACGTTCGCGTCCTTGGCGCGCTCCAGAGTCCTACCGCACTGCGTCGTCGTCGCGCTCTGGCGACCGTGACTTGCGGCTTGGCGGCCCCTCATCAATATCACCCATCGTGAGCTCGATACGATGCTCTAAAGAATTCTTTGTTCCGCATCCCGCTCATTCGACGTCTTGCTGAAGCTGCAGGAACCCCTCGTTTGGTACAATTCACAATGCAAACAGTCAGTTAGCCAATGGCCCTCACTTCGACGTGAGTCACCCTGCTGCTAACCGCACTTACTGGACATCTACTACTAGCCCTACTTGTATGGACCTAAGCCAATCAGATGTCTCCAAACCGTTGCCTTTTTCACCAATCCGATCTTGTTCGGGTTTGCGTTCCACCGAAATTTGACATCTTGGTTGGGACACGGTCAGACGACCTTTCGCGAGGTTGAGTCGGCTCTGGGCACCCAGAACAGTAAGGACTCCCTGCAATACCACGAGTGTCTGGTGTCATTTGTGGAGGGTACTTCCAACACAAGGTTGGCAATGACATCGTTCGTTGTAACAAGCTGGCGAGGGTGGAGCATACCAGGTGAACGATGACTTGATCGCAAATCGTGTGGCGTAATTTAGATTCCAACTCTTGGCCGCTTCGTGACGTATCGCTTGATGATGAGCACCAGAGCATGCAGCACCATGCATCGATGCAATTCGGGCGAACGAGGCTGC